TTATTTATTTTGTCTTTATTCTCAAGAAGATCTAAAGCATTTGCCAAGATTATACATCAACAGTAATATGTTAAATAAAGATACACCAAGCACTAAGTTAAACTAGAAACCATAAAAATGAAAGCTCAAATATTAATAATTCATAATAAGTTTAGTAAGGTTTCAAATGGATTTCATTTTGCATTATTTACTGTAGCAGATAATTCTGCCCAGTATTAGCAGGCTATACGTGGCATAAGCTTCTTGCCCCTCTATAATTCGGCTGTAATATCTTAGGAGTCTGACTGAAGCCTTACGTGACTCAAATGGGCATGTCAGATAGCACAGTTGGGGCTGGTATTGCTCCTTTGCTAATAATAGCTGCTACCAACGCTTAACTCCATCAAGTAGCAGGGCTTGGATGAGTTCACTTGCAGCCAAGGTCAAGTGACTCCAACTAAATTCTTCCTCCCTGAGTTAACCATTTGTTCTCTTCAGTAAGATATGCTAGCGCCCCTGCCTGCCATACCTGTTACCAGCAGGTGTCCTGAGCCCTGCCCAGGTCCCCTCCTTCCCACACGTGTAAGGAATAAACCCTGGATGGCCCTGATGCCTTGGGTCTTTGCTGCCCAGGGCAGCTTACATCAGCCCAAGCTTCTTCTCTCAAGCCTCTGGGTCTGTGTCTTTTGTTCTCTATCTCTTTCCTATCTTGCAGGCAATGTATTTGTCTCACAGGAGACAGAGACCCACTGCAGGGGTCACTGACAATGTTCTCTATATTATAATCTCTGAATATAAGATTTGCAGGATTAAATAGAAGATAATGTTTTCTATAATCTCCCAATATAAGATTCACAGGATTAAATAGGAGATATCACTTCACTGAATTTAGCAAAAATAAAGATCACATTTTCAGTTCTTTAAAATCAATTACAGGTAATTTAAAAGTATGTAATTTCTAACCTATAATAGAGATTCGACTGTCATTTAACCCTTGTTTTTATAATATCTGATTCTGACTCTTACTCAGTCTTATTATGAAATCTTACCTTGCCTTGTAAATGAGACTTCTCAATCTCAGCTTCACACTCATTGTTTTTATTGTTTTCTAATACTTTCATTCTAAAATGACATACCCAAGAATATTTTAATCCCATCAACTTTTACAGACCTCAATTCTGTACGTAAATCTCTCTTATTCTACTTGTTTTCTATTATGATCTTATGGCCCTATCTTTCTAGGATAATATGTGGCTAAAAGCATGGGGAAGACTATTTTAGAAAAGAGCCTACTTTTGGCTCAGGTGACGGTGATAAAAAGGAAGACTGAGAAAAGCTCTGGACATTGACGGATGTTTTAGGAAGGGTTTCAACCACATCTTTGTTTTCACTATCAGAAATACTGTTATCAAGCAAGGTTCTGTTTCCTGGTTCCCCAGTGCTATATTTTGCTTCTACGACAACAAAAACAAAGTAAATTGTACATAAAAATATCTACAACTTCAGGTCAATAGCACAGGAGTAGGCAATCTTTATCAAATAGCTTACGATTTTTCCTGGATTGCTGAGCAGCAGCCCATAGCTCAGTTAGGTTTATTTTAGGGACATTCTAAAAAAAAAAAAATAGCTTTAAGAATCACAAGTATCAAATCTGATAAAATAATAGTCACCATTACTACACGATCTAACAGTAAGAGCACAGGGTGCGGAATTATTCAGATGTAGATTCAAACCCCAATCTGCCATTTTCTAATCCCCATCTTCTTCATGGGGTGAAGGCTATGAAAGATGACAGAGACAGCCTGAAATGTTACTCCCCGTACCTCTAGTTAATTATATAAATACTAGGGCATTTACTAGAGTATTTTCTTAACTAAAATAACCAAAAACTAATATTTAATCCCTCTGTAGTTTAGAGTACTTTGAGAAAACTAACATTTTATGAAATAAAAATTCATTTTTTGTTATATTTTGAATTTGTTTACATGATTTATATTCGCATGAATTACCTCATGAGGAGAAAAGTTAAGTTGAGCTTTTACTAGTATCTTATTTAGATGGTTTAGAA